CATCATCATCATCATCATCATCATCATCATCATCATCATCATCATCATCATCATCATCATCATCATCATCATCAGCATCATCATCATCAGCATCACCATCATCATCATCGCGGGACACCGCGGGACACCGGCGGGACACCGCGGGGCACCGCGGGACACCGCGGGACACCGCGGGACACCGGCGGGACACCGCGGGCCACCGGCCGCCCGGAAGGGAGGCATTTGGTCCGGCCGCGCCTCAGCCACACGGGACACCAGCGGGACACCGGCGGGACACCGCGGGCCACCGGCCGCCCGGAAGGGAGACATTTGGTCCGGCCGCGCCTCAGCCACAGGAGACTTTCTTCTCGCCCGCCCACGCAGCTTCGCCTCGCCCGCACGCACGGCACGCACGAACACGAAACCGAAATCGATTTCCAGGTAGGGGGGCTCTCCGTTCCACTTCGATCTCACCCCCTCACCTCCGACTCATATATATGTGCCATACATAGATGTATGCACACGTACTGGGATGACCGTGGGGGTTCCTAAGTGGATAGGGGGGTTACAAGTGGATGCCAAGGTGGGTTATATCTGGCCCAACCTGGCTTATAAGTGGGTTACAAGTGCCCTAAGTAGCTTAGGGGGGTTAACGATCTGGGCTAGGTGGGCTCCGCCCACTTAGCCGAGTTATCGACCCCCCCTAAGCTACTTAGGGCACTTGTAACCCACTTATAAGCCAGGTTGGGCCAGATATAACCCACCTTGGCATCCACTTGTAACCCCCCTATCCACTCAGGACCCCCCCGGTCATCCCAGTAGCTATGGTATATCCCACTACGAACTGGGATGTCTGCTTCTGTCGTAGTGCTTCACTTGTATGCAGTAGCAAGTCGCGACCAACGTGCCACAATGCCCACTGCGCGACGCGTGCATCCAAACATTGCTTGGAGGAGCCCGTATCCGATCAACGGCCTACAGGTTTGCGCACATGCCACCAGCTCCGATCAATTATTTGGGTGCCACCTGCTTCGCGCGTGGGGAAGGTGGCAATGCGAATCACATAGTTGTTGCATCCTTGCTGGAGCCCGCAACTCTGGCCAGGCCCCCTGTCCGGGCCCAGGTGGCCGCAGTGCCCGGCGCTCCAGTCGAGCTCGCACGCGAGTCGTTCCGACAGCTTTCGCTGGGTGAGAATGAAAAAAGCCTGCGGGCTGCGGCCCCTGACGCCGGCGACAGCATAGCAAACGCGGTGGCGACGCGCGTCGGCGTCGCGCGCTCTCTGGGCGCGCCGCGGCCCCCCGCGGGCCACAGCTGGCGCGGAAGAAGGAGGAGGAGGAGGAGGAGGAGGAGGAGGAGGAGGAGGAGGACGACCACAGAGCATTGGAGAAGGGGGGGGGCGGGAGGCGCAGGAGGGGAAGGGGGGGGGGGGGGGGCGGGGGGCGGGGAGAGCGGGAGGGGGCGCGCGAGCCCGGGGGCGCGCGCGCGCCACGCCCCGTCGCGCGCTGCGGGCACACTCTACCTGCTTCCGCCGCGCCCGCCGCCCCCGGGCCCCTCGCGCAGGCAGGCGCGGGCCGCGCGAGGGCAGCGCGGCCCTTGCCTGCGCGAGGGGCCCGGGGGCCGGAGCGGAGGCCGGGCGGCTGCGGAGGCGGGGGAGGAGGCAGAGGATAGGGGCAGCAGCGCGCGCGCACACTTCGCACAGAGCGCACCCGAGCGGACAGGCGCGCAGGACAGGGAGGGGGAGGCGGGAGCGGCAGGAGCCGCAGGCCAAGCAGGCAGGCGTGCGCGGGGGCGGGCGGGCGGGGGAGGGGAAAGAGTCGTCGTCGGCCGTCGCGGGCGGCCGGCGGCCGGTGCAGCGCCGGGCGGGGCCCGGAGGGCGGGGGCGGAAGAGGCTGCCGAGAGGCCCCCAAAGGAGGCTCCAAGAGGCCCCCTCCCCCCCCAGAAGCGCCCAGGACGCCTCGAGAGGCCCCTGGGGCGGCCAAGAGGCCCGCAGAGCGCCCGGGCAGGACCACGAGAAGCTCTGGGAAGGAATCGGAAGAGACTCCCCTGGAGGCATCCAAGAGGCCTCTCTGGCCTTTGTGCTCGGTATTCCTTCTCCTTCGCCTCCCCTTCCTCCTCCTCTTCCTCATCCGCCTGTTCCTCCTCCTCCTCCTCCTCCTCCTCCTCCCTCCTCCCTCCTCCCTCCCTCTCTCTCTCTCTATTCCTATCACTCCTCTTTCCTCTTCGTTTGCTTCTCCTCCGATTCCTCTTGTATCATTCCCGTCTTGAGGCACGATGCTTTACTCAGCCCTGTATTATACTGTACTCTCTTTCACGTCCCTGATCAGGGCAACTCGTCTGGGCATCGTTTCTGGATGGGCTGGTGGGGCTGCGCGAAGCGCCCGGCGCCCCCACCGCCATTGGGGTGCAGAAGCCCGCGCCTCGCTCGAGGCATCCTCACAATCTTCTCTGGAGGAGGAGGAGGAGGAGGAGGAGGAGGAGGAGGAGGAGAAGGAGGAGGAGGACGACGACGACGAGGACGAGGAGGAGGAGGAGACTGGGGGGCCACAGCAGGCAAATGTTGGAGTGCCCCTACATCTGACTCCGCCTCGCTCGGAAGTGCGAGCGCGTCGCAAGACAGAGGGAGTCTGAACGTGAGTGAATTGCTGTGCGACTGGTGAGAGCGAGTCTGCTTGCGGGCGAATCGGAATGTCAGTGCGTCTGGATGTGAACTGGTATGAGTGCTAGTGAGTCTGAGAGCGAGCGAGAAAGAGTGAGAGTGAAAGTGGACGTGGTGAGCCTGAATCTGAGTGGGTCTGGGGTTGCGGGAGTCAAGAAGCAACGACTGCGTCTGAGTACGAGTGAGTCTGAGTGCGAGTAAGTCTGAGTATGATTGAGTTTGATTGAGTAAGAAGAGGAGCCATAGGAGAGGGAGGTGAGTGAGGAGTCGGAGCAGTCTGCGTAATACCAAGGAGCACATCGTAGGACATGGGGAGCTATAACGGTGCGCGCGCCGATTCCCGAAGCTCTGCCGTCACGTATAGCAAACTAGAACAAGCTCGGGCCAACAACAGCGCCCGCCTTTCGCACCGAGCTGTCCGCGCAAGTGTGTTGCATAACATACAATGTCGACTTCGACGCCGGCGGATAGGACCCTCGCTGCGCGCGCCGGGCGCGGTCGGCTTCGCGGGAAAAAACACCAGGGAAGCCCTGGAGCACAGTACAATCACAAGAACAAGCATGAACGCAGCACGCCAAGTATGACAACATCGCCAAACAAAACGGATCGCCAGGCATAAGATGAAGACGTACATCAATCAATGGACATCGACAGATACACAAAAAATACCTAGTATGAAATGCACACAAAATGAAGTCAACAACAACCATCAATCAACATCACCGAGGACACCTGCAAACCAAACAACACACACAACTCTTAGCATCAATGTGAACCAACGAAGCACGACGAATAACCATAACCACAATGTTTTGCATTGTGGTGATTGCACTAGCTGTTCGTTGTTGTCCCAATGTTCTGTTTTCGGGCGGGCCCACGAAATCACAGGTCCAAACACGTATATCCAGATGTGCTATGTATACGTGTGCATGTGCGAATTAATGATATATGTACACGTATACGCGAATCTTAAGGCACACCCGACATCCTCCAGAACGACTACGTCGTCGCCGTCGCTCCTCCTTCGGCCTCACCCATCCCCAAACCCCGACGTCGTGCTTTTGTTATCTTATGTTCAACGTGTGCCCCCTAATGTCTGGACCTTCTCCTTGGGTCATAACTTTGGGCTCTGGATCCATGACTGATGGTCCCACAAACCCGGGTCAGTCGGGCTGTGTAGAATCCTGCAGGATCCTGCAGGACCCTGCACCCAAGCCCAGGTCACTGCGCCCCTTCCTTCCCAGAGATCCGATATCGTGATTTTTTCACTGCGGGGTCCCCAGAAGTCTCGACGCATTCCCCGGGACCGGATTTTCATCCCGAATCGTTTTTTGACGGTCCCGAGGCCCGGCGAGGACCCCTGGGGGCCGAAACTTGAGAAAACCTCCGTCTTGCTTTTTTTCAATACGCGTTGGATCTCTGGGTCCGCAGGATCCTGCAACGTCCGGCGCTCTGACTGACCCCCGCTTGCAAGGACCCCCGCCCCTTGCCCTCCACCTCCATCTTCCGTACCTTCCGACCTCTGCGGAAGGCGGGGAAGGTGATGCACTGAAACTATTGAAAGCCTCGGGAAGCGCAGGAAAACTCAGCATCTCTTGAAGCGCAACAGTGTGGAAGGTCAGCAAAGAAGGTCTGGAAAAATGAGGGCGAGGGTGAGCCGCGAGGGTCGAGTCCCGGCCCTCTCCCGGTGCACGGCTGGCACAGACACGTCGAGGCGGCTGCCGCTGCGGCCGCGATGGGCCCCCCACGAGGCGGCCTGGCAGCGCCCGGCTGTCTCCACCCTCGAACCTCGGCCGGCCTCCTGAACGAAGCTTCCTCGACGTTCCAGCCTCCCTGCCTTCGACTCGCAAGGAGCCAATCCGCCTCCTCGCCAGCCCTCGGACGTCCATTCCCGGCGCATCTCATCCAGAGGCCTCCTTGATGGGGTCGGAGTAGACGGGGTCGGAGGATCGCGCCGCATCCTCCCCTCACTATTTGTTTGATCATTCTTGAAGACTCCTTCTGTAGTTGGGCGCCCGAGTTATCCGGGGTAACTCGGGTCCGGGGTAACGCGGGCTTGGATTCCCGAAAAACGAACCCGAGTTAGCCCTGACCCGAGTTACCCCTGATGATCTGGGGCTCTGGACGCCCGAGCTATCTGGGGCAACTCGGGCCCAGGGCAACTCGGGTTCGGAATCCCGAGAAGCGAACCCGAGTTAGCCCTGACGACCCGAGTTACCCCTGATGATTCGGGGCTCTAGGATGATAGAGGAGGAGGAGGAGGAGGAGAGGAGGAGAGGAGGAGGAGGAGGAGAGGAGGGGGAGGAGGAGGAGGAGGAGGAGGGGAGGAGGAGGAGGAGTAAGGAGGGGCAGTCCCGACCGATGTCTGGGCCCCGCCCCCCGCCGTCCGTGGGGGGCGGCCGCGGCGCGCCAAGCCCACGCCGGGCCGCCCGGGAGCACTCTCGGCTCCGAGGCCTCCCCTCCCCCCCTCCTCCGCCTCTGCCGCCTCCTCCGCCTCCTCCCTCCTCCTCCTCCTCCCCTCCCTCCTCCTCCTCCTCCTCCTCCTCCTCCTCCTCCGCCTCCTCCTCCTCCTCCTCCTCCTCCTCCTCCTCCTCCTCCTCCTCCTCCTCCTCCTCTCCTCCTCCTCCTCCTCCTCCTCCTCCTCCTCCTCCTCCTCCTCCTCCTCCTCCTCCTCCTCCTCCTCCTTCCTCCCTCCTCCTCCTCCTCCTCCTCCTCCTCCTCCTCCTCCTCCTCCTCCTCCTCTCCTCCTCCTCCTCCTCCCCCCCCCTCCCCTCCTCCTCCGCCTCCATCCCCCTCCGCCGCCTCCTCCTCGCTCGTGCGCCTCCTCCCCCTCGCTCCCCAGAGATCCGATGTCGCGATCTTTTCAAGACGGGTCCCGGGACGTCTCGACCTATTCCCCAGGACCGGTTTGGCGTCCTGAATCGTTTTTTGACGGTCCCGGGGCCCAGCGAGGGCCCCTGGGGGCCGAAACTAGCGAAAAACCTCCGTCTCGATACGTTGGATCTCTGCGTCCTCCTCCTCCTCCTCCTCCTCCTCCCTCCTCCTCCTCCTCCTCCTCCTCCTCCTCCTCCTCCTGCTCCTCCTCCCCCTCCCAGATCGGCTCCTGTCGCGTCCGGCTCCGGGCCACCGGCGGCATTCAAAAAAATCTTGGACGCCCGCGCGGCACTCGGATATCACCGCCGCGGCAGCAAGTCGGCGGCGGGCCCGATGGGGGGGGGGAAGTGACCCAGACCTCAAGGTTAGGTCCGGCGTGTCCCCCTACAGGGGGAGCTTCGACGAAAAATAAAACAGATTCGCAAAGTACTCAAAAGATGCCCAGAAATGCTCCAAAAATAATCCCCAGACTATTTTTTGACTACTTTTGAAAATTCCTCCTGTAGAGGGACAGGCCCGACTTAACCTTAAGGATGAAAAAACACCAGGATCTCGACATCTAAAATCCAGTCGAGGATTTAAGCAGTCCGGATCGGTCCAGTGGTCTGGAGGGCCATTGTTCCAGCACTCCGGAAGGTCAGGGGAGAATGAGGAGGCCTTCTCAGAAGGTTCGGAAGTCCCCCAGCCTTCTGAGAAGTTCTTTAAGCTTTCCCCGAAGGCAGAAACAACAACTTCTCAGAAGGCGCGAGGGTTTCCGAGAAGTCCCGCCGCCTTCTGAAAAAGGCCTTCTCCGCCTCTCTCCCCCCCCCTCGCTCGCCGCCGAAACTCGACCCTCGACTCAACCAGACTCAGCCTTCCATCATCCTCGACTGGCGACGACGGAGCCACCGCCGCGTCGAGCGCCGTCGCCGTCCTCGCACCCATGGTTACCAGCCTGGAACATATCCCTATCCCTATGCTGGGCATCTCCTCATCACGATGCCCATCTTAGGGATTCCCCTATTTTCCGAGGGCGAATCCCTGAGATTGTCATCGCCGTTTGGCGTGTCATTCTTAGGGATAGGGATACGATCGAGGCTGGTAACAGGGGCCCTCCCGCTCCGGTGCTCGTCAACGGGGGGGGGGAGCAAACGTGGGGCCAGCAAGAGCGCGCACCCCTGGCGCCCGCGGTGTCAGCGCAGGGGCCGCTTCTGCGACCCCTTTTCAGCCCCCGCCCTCGGATTGGCTCCTTGCGAGTCGAAGGCGGGGAGGCTCGAACGTCGAGGAGGCCTCGTTCAGGAGGGCGGCCGAGGTTCGACGGTGGAGGTTGCCGGGCGCTGCCAGGCCGCCTCGTGGGGGGCCCCTCGCGGCCACAGCTGCAGCCGCCTCGACGTTTCTGTTCCAGCTCGACCCTCGGGGCTCACCCTCGGGACCCAGGAGGAGGAGGAGGAGGAGGAGGAGGAGGAGGAGGAGGAGGAGGAGGAGGAGGAGGACGAGGAGGACGAGGACGAGGAGAGGGCCGGGACTCGACCCTCGGGGCTCACCCTCGCCCTCGCGCTTCCAGACCTCCCGCGCTGACCTGCCACACGCGTGCGCCTCGTGCAGCGCCGAGTTCTCTTGCGTGCCCTGAGGCTTTCACGATAGTTTCAGCGCGTCACCTTCCGTGCCTCCCGCAGAGGCAGGAATGTATGGAAGATGGAAGTGGAGTTAAGTCGGGCCTGTCCCCCTACAGGGGGGGTTTTCGACGAAAAATGAAAAATACCCCAAAATAATCAAAAAATAGTTCAAACATAGTCTGGGGACTATTGTTTTGAGTATTTGTTTGCCCTTTTGGGGTATTTTAGGGGTATTTTGTATTTCTCGTCGAAAATCCCCCTGCAGGGGGACACGCCCGACGTAAAAGTGGAGGGAGGGCCACTCTAGCCTCGCTCCCGCCACGTTCTGGCCCCCCAGTTGCTGGCTCTCTCCCCCCCGCTGCTCCCGAGGCGGGTGCGACGCCGGCCTCTGCAGCCGGCGGCGTCGTCGTCCAGGTGGCCTGCTGCGGGCCAAGGGAAGAAGACGCGGCCAGGCCACGCTCGGCCGGGCGAGGCTCTCCGCCACGTGGACCCCGGCCAGGCGGACCTCGGCCCGACTGAACTCGGCCTGGCTGAGCTCGGCCTGGCCGCTCTCGGCCCGGGCCGGCTTCAGCCCAGGCCGACTTCAGCGAGGCCCATACGTAGAGGCCTCCTAGATGGGGTCCGAGTAGATGGGGTCGGAGGGTCGCGCCGCATCGCCGTTACATCGGCGATGCATCGTCGCTGCATCGGCGATGCATCGGTGATGCAACGGCGACGCATCGTCGCCGTCGGCGATGCATCGGCGACGTCGACGTGAAGGAAATCGGGCTCCGCATCGAGCCGCCTTGCCGATGCATCGGCGATGCGGCGCGATCCTGCGACCCCATCTACTCCGACCCCATCTCTAGGAGGCCTGGAACACGTCAGCCAGCCGACCTCGGCCTGGCCAAGCTCTCCCAGACCCGCCGACGCCAAGGTTGTTCCATGACAGCCCCCCAAAGGTCTGGACCCCTTCCTCTCCCTCCTCCTCCTCCTCCTCCTCCTCCTCCCTCCTCCTCCTCCTCCTCCTCCTCCTCCTCCTCCTCCTCCTCCTCTCCTCCCCTCCTCCTCCTCCTCCTCCTCCTCTCCCTCCCTCCTCGTCGACCTCCTCGTCGACCTCCTCTCTCCTCCTGTCGCCTCTTCCTCCTCGTCGACCCTCCTCGTCGACCTCCTCCTCCTCTCCTCCTCCTCCTCCTCCTCCTCCTCCTCCTCCCCCCTCCTCCTCCTCCTCCTCCTCGAACCCCTGAGGTTGCTGGAACCCCCCAAGGTCTGGACCCCTTCCTGGGACCGGTTCTCTTTCCTGAGTCGTTCTTTGACGGCCCCGAGGCCAGAATGGCCCCCCGAGGCCGAGCTCAGCCAGCCGAGCTCAGCCTGGCCAAGCTCTCCCAGACTCCCGACGCCAAGGTTGTTGCCCAAGGTCTGGACACCTCCCTCCTCCTCCTCCTCCTCCTCCTCCACCTCCTCCTCGTCCTCCTCGTCCTCGACCTCCTCCTCCTCCTCCTCCTCCTCCTCCTCCTCCTCCTCCTCCTCCTCCTCCTCCTCCCCCGAGGTTGCTTCATGACGGGACCCCCCAAGGTCTGGACCCCCTTCCTGGAACCGGTTCTCTCTTTCCCGAGTCGCTCTTCGACGGCCCCGACGAGGCCAGAAGGGCCCCCCGGAGGCCGAACATTGTGAAAAAACAACATCCCGTCTTTATTTTTTCCACAGCCCACATCGAGATCCGATGTCGTGGTTTGTTCCATGCGGGGTCCCGGGAAGTCTCGACACCTAGTGGCCAGGAAGAGGCCCAGAATAGAGCAATTAGAAACGAAAGGATCTTCCCCCCCCCGGAAAAAGCCAAATAACTTTCGAAGAATTAGAGCTGAACATTCCCCAGGGCCCATTCCCCATTCTCGACCCATTCCCCAGGACCAGTTTGTCATCCCGAGTCGCTTCTTGACGGTCCCGAGGCCCGGCGAAGGCCCCTGGGGGCTGAAATTCGCGAAACACCTCCGTCATGTTCTTTTTCATACGTTGCATCGCTGGGGAGTCCACGGGTCGGCGGCCGAGGGAGGAGGGCGGGGACCCCCGAAGATCCAGGACCAGGGCTCGCAGACTGGGAATGAGCATCGATTGCCCGACCCCTGTCCCGAGGCCCGTGGCCCGGGCCCCACTGGCCGACTCACCTCCCCAGATGAGGATTACAAGCTCTTTCCTTCGGGTCTCGAGGGGTCTATCCCTAACTGGGGTGCTGAGATGGATGGGGGTCTGGATGACCCTCGCCCTCATTCTTCCAGGCCTTCCGTGCTGACCTTCCACACTCTTGCGCTTCGTGAAACGCTGACTCTTCTTGCGCTTCCTGAGGCTTTCAGTAGTTTCAGTGTATCACCTTCCGCGCCTTCCGCAGAGGTCGGAAGGTGTGGAAGATGGAGGTGGCGGGCTCAAGGGACGGGGGTCACTGCAAGCGGGGGCCAATCAGAGCGCCGGACGTTGCAGGATCCTGCGGACCCAGAGATCCAACGTATTGAAGAAATCAAGACGGAAGTTTTTTCTCAAGTTTCGGCCCCCAGGGGCCCTCGCCGGGCCTCGGGACCGTCAACTAACGACTCGGGATGAAAATCCAGTCCCGGGGAATGGGTCGAGACTTCCGGTTGAACGACGCGGAGGGAAGGCCGAGGCCTGGAGGCCAACGGCGGCGGGCGCCGCTGGGCCTCCCGCGGGGCCCACTCGCGGCCACGGCCGGATCCGCCTCGAGGTCCTGGCCTCCAGGCGCAGCCCGCGGCCCCAGAGCCTGGGAGGAGGAGGAGGAGGAGGAGGAGGAGGTGGACGAGGAGGAGGAAGAGGAGGAGGAGGAGGAGGAGGAGGAGGAGGAGGAGGAGGAGGAGGAGGAGGAGGAGGAGGAGAGGTGGAGGAGGAGGAGGAGGAGGAGGAGGAGGAGGAGGAGGAGGAGGAGGAGGAGAGGGGGGCAGGAGCTTCCTGGCCTCCTGGTGTCTGGGCCCCGGGCCCAGGACGCGCACGACCAGGTCGGGGCTCTCCTCCGGGAGGCCGTGCTCGGCGCCCCAGGGGCCCCTCGCCCCCCGGCCGCTCCGCTGCGCGCCTCGCGCGCCCCGCGCCTCGCGCGCCCCCCGCGCGTCGAGCGCTCCGCGCCGCCGCCGCCGCGGAGAAGGGCGCCCCTCCGACCCAGGCCGCGGTGCGCGGTGCGCCGCTGCCTGCGCTCGCGTCGCTTTTTGACGCGATGCAGCAGCATGGACACGCTGTCCCTGCTCACGTACTGAACATTCTATATAGTATAGGTCTTACATCATACAGACGAGCACCTGGATCTAAATGAATCCAGGGCTCAAGTCCAGGGCAAAGCGGCTTGCGGCGATGACGCAGACACTGGCTGGACTTAGCTACTCATCGGTAGCTGGTGCTAGCGCTTGCCTTTCACTAGCAATCTGTTGACTAGTGCCTCCCATGTGCATGGACATGCTGCCCCTGCTCACGTGCTCAGAGCATGTGCAATCTTCTCATGAGTTCCCATGTGGCTTGTCTTGGCGTCTCCTCGTCGTGCCCTCTCTTGAAGCCCAAAACGGGCAAACTTCATAATGTCTGACCGTTCCGTTCCTAATCCAGGCTGGCAGCGGCTGCGCTCGCCTCGCTTTCTGACGAGGTGCAGCCATTCACCTCGAGGTCCTCTACGAGACCGATGTTGCATCACAGCAGCAATTCGGCCCCTGACTTTCGTCCTGGGTTCGGTTTAGTGAAGTGATGAATTTCGGGGTCCTTACGTGGGAAAAAACATCACTTCACTAATCTGGGGCCCCTGGGGCCTCAGTGGGCCCTGGGGCCCAAAATTAGTGAAATAATGGTTTTCGGGCCTCGGATCCTTGAGAACGCTTGCAGCCGGAACGCTACAGAAACGCTTGGTTTTCCACTCCGCAGAACTCTGCTTCACCCGAAGGTAGCGCTACTGCGCTGTGAGCCGAGCTCCACACCTCTCTCTGGTGCGATCCCCACAGAACTGCTCCTCCGCTTCTCGACTGGCGCGACCGCCTTCGCGCCCCCCTCGGGGGGGCCTGGGTCGCCGGACCCCTCGGGGCTGTCAGCGGCGAGCCGGACTGAAAAACGGGCCCCGGGGAGCAGGATGGAACAGCGGCACGGTCGCAAACTGTCGGGAGCCCGCACGGACGTCTCGGAGCGCCACTGGACCCCCCTGGCGGCGCCCAGGGAGCCGCTTCTGGCGCCAGAGGCTCGCCGAGGAGCGGGGTCCAGCGCCGATCCAGAGAATCCGGGCGGCCCTCCCACAGTGGGTGCTCCTGTCTGCCAGGGGTCGAGCCTTCCAGGGGCCCACGCAGTGCAGCAGTCACGACGCCGGTTGTGCGGGATTGACAGGGGTACGCGCTGTTCATTTCTGATCGTGCTCATTTCTAATTGCGCTCGTTTCTAAGAGTTCCTGGCCCCCCAGTGGCCAGGAAGAGGCCCAGAAGAGAGGAATCAGAAACGAAAGGATCTTGCCCCCCCCCCCCCAAAAAGAAAAAGTCAAACAACTTTCGAAGACTTAGAGCTGAACATTCCCCAGGGCCCATTCCCCATTCTCGACCCCTTCCCCAGGACCAGCGTTTCATCCCGAGACGTTGTTGGACGGCCCCGAGGCGCGGCGAGGGCCCCTATAGGGGCCGAAGACTGCGAGAAACCTCCGTCCTGATCCTTCCTGTGCTTCGGATCTCTGGGCTCGCAGAGGGCAGGTGCACCAGCTCTGCGGCTCTCGGGCCCGCTGGTTGCACCGCCGCCCCTGTAGGAAGGCACCAACTATACACCAACACCGATCCTGGCCCAGGATCCCCCTTGGCCCAGGATCGGTGTATACGCCCTCCTGCCTCGCGCAAGAAGGCATATACACCGATCCTGGGCCCAGATTGAGCCTGGGCCAGGATCGGTGTTGGTGTATAGTTGGTGCCCTCCGACCCTGCCTAGGCCCCATAGGACTACGGGAGGCCTCGCGACGGCTCCCCCCGCCGGGCTCCAGACGGACCCAGGCCTCCGTGGGACTGCGGCGCCTCCGCCGGCACTCCTCCGGCTCGGCCGCGGTTTCGATCGCTCCGATTGTCGTGCTGATTCCTCGCGCTGGCTCTCTGTCTCGCTCTGTCTCCTTGCCTCGGGTTGCTCACCGCCGCCCAGTCTGTGCACGTAATCGGCGATGCTCGCAGAGCGGGCGCGAACAGGGTACGCTGCGCATTCACACATGAGGTGCTACATCAGATGCGCGCGTACGCCATGTCCGATGGCATCGCTTCTGTGGGTTCTCTCTCTATGCATCATGTTAACTATCATTGCTTGCCGTAGGTATATATATATATATGTATCGCTCTCTCGATCCCTCTTTTCTTATACATGTGCATATGCATATAAAACATGTCACATGATGCTGATGGTTCTGGCTCACTCACTCATGTACAAACACAGTCTCTCTGTCTTTCTATATGATTTACGTATGCAAAAATGTCACATGTTCCTTATTGTGTTCTCTCTCTCTCTCTCTCTGTTTGTCTCTCTCTCTCTCTCTCTCTCTCGCTGTTGCTTTTTTTTTGTTTGTTTTCTCTCGCTCTCTCTCTCTCTCTCTCTCATCTCACAATTTCGCGCGCTCGTCGCGTTCTTCCGATTCGGTGGCACCGTGCGCGTACGCAAATCTCCTAGTTGTTCGAACCGTTGGCCCCTCGAAACGGAGCCCCCCGCCCCTGTTTCCATAAGGTACCCAAAAAACTCCACAACGCCCAGATATGATTGAGCCGTTCCAGACGCGAGCGCAGCTAAGTGAGAAGGGCACGACAATCCTGGAGACAAATGCAACTTGAGCTAATCTGCCGCCGAACACAATTCGGACTGGCTGCTGTGCTACATGCGCGTCGCATGGCTCCTTTGGCTGATCTTGCACACGTAGCCGGAGCACTAACTATAGACTTACCCCCCCCCCCCCGCGGCTGAAAAAAAACGATATGCAGACGGGGGAGATAGAAACAGAAAAAGCGGCTGGGCAACGGATGGGGTTCTAAACATGTAGGCAGAGCAGCGAAGCAAGGACTGCACCCTAGCAAGTCAAATCGTATCACAGTGAACTTGAAATCATACAGGACGAAGACAGGAGGCGCCGATGTTTTGGGCGTGAACGTATATGGCCTCCCAACATGCGGTGCACTATGCTGCGACGCCGCAAGAATCAGCCACGCGCGCTGGGACCCAGGGGGCCCACCACGGGCTCCGCCACCACGAACATACATTTGGGCTTGTTGTTCGTGCGAACGAGCAGAACCTGAAGGAGCCGGCCGTGCCGAAAAGGGTCTTGTCCAACACACTTCGGCTGGGCTGCTGTGCTACATCCACGTGTGACTGCTCACCTAGCTTGTCTTGCACACCCAGTCGGGACGCTATAAACCAACTCCTACTATCCTCCTCCCACTTCTTCGCGGTGGTTTGCCCGAGGTCACCCAAGCTCGAGCTTCACACTGCACGACCCGCGTTCATCTTCGCGTCCTTGCACCGCCCCCCGAAGAAAAGCGCCCGCCCCAACCCAGGCCGCTCATCCCGCAGCGCGGCTGCCTGCGAACTGGCCTCCTTGCTCCTCTCGGGTCGGGCGAAAGGGGGGGATAGCAAAGGGGGGGGCTTGAGCATCAGCTAGCGTAGCTGCTGGTTTTCCCGGCGGAGGCGGCTCGGTATCGAGGAATGGGCCCCTCGGCGGGGCCGAAGCCAGCTGCATGCAGCCAACTTCGTAACCCCCCCTTCCCCAATCCCCCCCCTTTCGCCCGGCCCGACCCTCTCCGCCCGAGGTCCGCGCGAGGCCTGTGAGCTCGGCGGCCCCGTCTTGGCCACGCCTCGGGGCCCGTCGCCGGCAGCGGGGCGCAGCGTCGGGCGCACGCGGTCGGCCAAGGTCAGGTTCTCCTTGCGGCGCTCCCCCCTCTTCCTCCGGAGCGGCGGCTCTCCCAGGGCGGGGGAGCAGGGAGGGGGGGGGGGAAGGAGGGGAAGAGGGGTAAGGAGGAAGGAGCAAGAGAGCGCATGTCGGCACGCCGGTCGGGATGGCGCCCGAGACGGGCCTGGGGAATTTCTTGCGCCGGCGCCCTGGAAGCAGGCACGACGTGACCATGCAAATGCCATCTTGCCTGGCCCGCGCTGTCCAAACGATCGTGCGCCGATGGGGAGCAGCGGCACTGACAAGCCCAGGTGCCGTCCACCACCTCGGACCTTTCCCCCCGTGCGTCGGCTGGGGCCTCCCGTTGCTTCCATCTCTCCACGACCCCATCCCCTCCCATCCCCATCGCGGGGTGGACGAACCGGGAGGGGGGGAGGGGGCAGGGGGGGGGGGGGAGGGGCGAATCGGCTGCACGCAGCCGGTTCCCCCCGCGCCCCCCGGCGCCGGGCGCGGCCATGCATCGCGCAGAGCGGCAGTCGGCGGGGCCGAAGCCAGCTGCATGCAGCGACTTCCCACAGCCCCCTCGCACACCCCCCCTAACTTGCCCCCTCCTGCAGGGGGAACCGGAGGGTGCCGATTCCGCTACTCCCCTGACTTCTCCCGGGGTGCGTTCTGACCAGGATTTCGAGGCAGAGCCAGCGGGGGCGACGAGAGGGCCTCCCAGGAGGCCCAAAAAGAGGAAAAGGAAGCAAGGGGAGCGGTAAGGGTACCTTCTCCCCCTCCGACCACCGCCCACCCTTTCCAACTAGGGGCTCCTGCTGCCCACTGGACGAATCGTTGCGGAAGTCCATGACCTGGCGGCCGACAGGAGGAGGAGGAGGAGGAGGAGGGGGAGGGGGAGGAGGAGGAGGGGGAGGGGGAGGAGGAGGAGGAGGAGGAGGAGAAGGAGGAGGAGGAGGAGGAGGAGGAGGAGGAGGAGGAGGAGGAGGAGGAGGGAGGAGGAGGGGAGGAGGGAGGAGGAGGAGGAGGGAGGGGGGAGGGAGGAGGGAGGGAGGGAGGGAGGGAGGAAGGAGGCGTGGCGGCCCACCGCGGGCGTGGCCGCCCGCCACGGGCTGCCCGCAGCGGGCGCCTGCCCCCTCTGGAGGCGGCCGCGCCGGCGCGGGCGCGACGGACGTCCAAGTTTCGCGGGGAGCGGGGTGGGGAATCGAGTGGGGTTACTGGGATGACCGTGGGGGTTCCTAAGTGGATAGGGGGGTTACAAGTGGATGCCAAGGTGGGTTATATCTGGCCCAACCTGGCTTATAAGTGGGTTCCAAGTGCCCTAAGTAGCTTAGGGCGGTTAACGATCTGGGCTAGGTGGGCTCCGCCCACTTAGCCGAGTTATCGACCCCTCCTAAGCTACTTAGGGCACTTGCAACCCACTTATAAGCCAGGTTGGGCCAGATATAACCCACCTTGGCATCCACTTGTAACCCCCCTATCCACTCAGGACCCCCCCGGTCATCCCAGTATGCTGTTCCCATCGTGCTGAAAGACCACACCCCAGACATGATCTCGAGCACCCAGAAGAGTGTCGAAATAGCGTCGCACGAGTATCGCCTCCCGGGGCCCGACACATGAACACCTTCCAGTTTCAGTACTTTTCCTGGTGCTCGAAATGATTCCTGGTGATCAAGGCTAAGGTAGGCTGGACCATCATAAGAGTATGGGATCGACGACAGAATTGACGCACCCGAAACTCGATCTGCTCGTCGAGCCTTCGAAAAGTGCGTAGAATGCTCCAGAGAGCGCATTCTTCGCATGCGCTCGTAGATGCGACGGGAAATCAATGTTGGGGTACACCACTTCTGTAGTCGATCCCCTACTCGAGGAGGGACCTCGCGGCTGGCGCGTCGTGCCGGGGCGGGACGGAGGACGACCCGGGTCCCTGGCGTGTGCGTTGTCTGGTCGGGACGCAGCTCCTGCCCCTCTCGGCGGTGGACAAAGCTCCCCTTAGTAAACCTCCCCTTGGTGAAAACAGCCTGGGACCGAAACCGACGGACCTGGACCCGCAAAACTGACGGCCGCGACGCCCTCTCGCGAAGCGAAAACGGCCAACTCCTTAGTCAACGCGTCAGAGCAGGAGGTCTATCCACCTCCTGCTCCTCCTCGCGGTGCGGCGCGGCCCACCGGCCCCAGCTGCTCGGCCACCACCTGGGAGGCCTGGAGTCCTCCCTCCTCCTCCCTCCTACAAGACGGCCCTCGCCCTCCCCTTCCCCTCCCGCCTCCCCAGCTCCCGGACCGCCGACGTCATCCTCGTGCTCCTTTCGCGACGCGATTGGCTGCACAACGCGCGGGGATCTGGGCTTCCCCCCCCTCCCTGATCTGGCGATGCCCGCTGCCCGCGCCAGCACGCGTGTGCTGCAGCTCGCGGCACCACCGACGCGACCCCCTTGGGGCCGCAACGACAGGGCCGTTTTTGTTCACGGTTCCGTTGCGCCGTTTTTGTTGCCGGCTCCGGCTCCCGCTCCAACCCTGGAGCCGTTTTTGCTGCCGTTCCCGGTCGCCGTGTTTTCGCTGCCGCTTCCACTTCCAAGAAACACCTTTTCGGAAACCGTGACAAAAACGGCCCCGCTGTCCCTCGCCCTCACTCTTCCAGACCTTCCGTGCTGACCTTCCCACACTCTTGCGCTGCGTGAAACGCAGAGTTTTCCTGCGCCCCCTGAAGCTGTTCCAGTCGTTTCAATGCACCACCTCCCGCGCCTTCCGCAGAGGTCGGGGGGCAAGCAAGCTGGAGGTGGAGGGCCTCCCGCTCCATCTGTGAACGATCGCCGCGTGTCGATCGCCACGGGCGGCCCCTCCAAGCCGTGGGCGCAGGCCTTCGGGCCCCGGGGCCGAGGCGACCACGCGGCCCACCGGCGGGGTCGGGAGGCTGTGGGGCCCGGCGTCGCGACGCGCGGCGTCGGAGGTCTGGGGGCCGCCCGCCCTGCTCGGCCGCCCCCCGCCCCGCGTGCCCGCCCTGCTCGGCCGCCCCCCTCCTACCAGCCTATGGAGCATATCCCTATCCCTATGCTGGGCACCTCCTCATCACGATGCCAATCTCAGGGATTCGCTTATATTTTTTGAGGGCGGATCTCTGAGATCGTCATCGCCTTTTTTGGCGTGCCAATCTCATGGGTAGGGATACGTTCGAGGCTGGTCACCCCCGCTGCCGCGGCTGCGGCCGCCTGGCGCCGCGCCGGCGCAGGCGGTGGCCGCGCGGAGGGCACATGTGCCCGCGGGCGGCGAGCCCGCGGCAGGCTCGCCGCCCGCGATGGCATCGGCGCTGGTCTCCGAGAGCCCGTGGAGCGCTCCACCTGGAACGATCACGGCTTTCCGACGGGCCTCCTCCCTCCCCCCCCCCCCCCTCCTCCTCCTCCTCCTCCTCCGCCTCCGCCCCCTCCCTCCTCTCCTCCTCCTCCCTCCTCCTCCCTCCTCCCTCCTCCTCCTCCCTCCTCCTTCCTCCCTCTCCTCCCCCCCCTCCTCGTCCCCCTCCTCCTCCTTCTCCTCCTCCTCCTCCTCCTCCTCCTCCTCCTCCTCCTCCTCCCACATCGGGCTTCCATCGTCCGGCTCCGAGCCACCGGCGGCATTCAACCTTGGACGCCCGCGCGGCATCGGGATCACCGCCGCGGCAACACGTCGGCGGCGGGCCCAAGGGGGGGGGGGAAAGAGAAGGGGCGGGCCTTCCCAGAAGGCTCGGCAACTGCACGTCGGCGGCGGGCCCAAGGAGGGGGGAAAGAGAGGGGGCGGGCCTTCCCGGAAGGCCCGGCAACTGCCGAACCCTCCCCCGAAGACTTTTTTTTTTGCGTCGACGGCCATCGGCAGGGGAATTGCGCTGGCGGAGGGCTGCCTAAAAGGGGGTACCGTTGTAGCGAATCGAGCCACCATGCAGGAGAGGGGAGAAACCAGAGGACGCGGCCGAAAGAGGGGGAGGAAGGAGCGAGCCTTCCCCCGAGGACACAGATAACTTCTCAGACGGCGCGAGAGCTTCTGAGAAGGCCCGCTGCCTTCTGAGAAGGCCTGCTCCTTCTCACTTCCACCACTCGCTCGCCGCCATACCCGGCGCGAGCCTGCCGTATCCGTATCCGCGCCCTCGCGGTCTGGACTCCTGGGCGCGATCCCGCGGACACTCTGGATCGATCCAGCTGGAATATAACCCTACTGGGGCTTGATCCTGCCCCAATGGAACCCTACGAGGATTCGATCCAACTCGAATAGATTGCGATTGAGGCTGGATCCTGCTCTGGCTGAATCCTGTGCGAGCCTCGTTCCAATGGCATATTACAAGATATCGTTCCAACTGTAATGACAGCCTACTCAGACTTGTCCCAGCTCTACTGGGGTCCTACTAGGGCTGCGTATCGCTCAGAAAAGCATATTCGGGCTCGATGCAACTCTGGAACCCTATCAAAGCTCGACCCAACTCTGTAACAATTGCGTTTGGGTTAGATCTGTCTCTGGTGGAATCCCATTCGGGCTCGACCCAGTTCTAATGGAATCCCACCAGGGTTCCATCCAGATGTACTAAAATCTATCTTAGTAGGGCATGACCCAACTCAAAGTGAATATTTCGAGGCCTCAAACCAAGTCAGCGGAATCCGATTAGGTCTCAATCCAGCTTTAAGAGCATCCCACTAGGACTCGATCCAACTCGAATGGGTTCCTACGTGGAAATCGAAGGGAACTCGACCCAGCTCCTCTCTAATACTATTATGGCTCGACCCCGCTGCAATATCATCCTACTAGAGATGAACCCAGGTCGAGTCACATCCTACGGGGGCTCGAAGGAACTCTCATCGAATCCTACCGCGGCTCGGTCCAGCTCTGATAGAATCCTATCAAAGCCGGCTCCACGTCTCATGGAATTCTACTGGGGCTCGACCCAGCCCTAGCAGAATCCTACAAGGGCTCACTCCAGCTCTGCTGCAATCCTACTAAGGCTGGATCCAGCATTCATGGGATCCCACCAGTGCTCTATCCAGCCCTTATCGAACCCCTAAGGGTCGATCCAAGTCTCGCATAACCCTACTGAGGTTCGGTCGTCGTCGTCGTCGTCGCTGCCTGACGGCGCCGGCGCTCGCCGACTGAGGTTCGGTCGTCGTCGTCGTCGTCGTCGTCGTCGTCGTCGTCGTCGTCGTCGTCGTCGTCGTCGTCGTCGTCGTCCTCGTCGTCGCTGCCTGACGGCGCCGGCGCTTGCCGGCGCTGTTTGCCACTGGCGGATGGAGGGAAGGGAGGCGATTCGACCCCCGCCCGGACAACTCAGGGGAGGGGGCGACCACCCCCCTGCAATTCTTTTTTTTTTCCAGCGGACTATTTTGGGAGAAGAAGGAGGACGAGGAAGGGGACGACCGCGACGCACCACATGTACTCTCCACACCGCCTGCCAGGCCCAACACAAACAACTTGGGCTCACATATCAAGGCAAATGCATGTGTCACGGATTCGGTGCACGAGCAGTAGCACGAGCAGTAGCACGAGCAGTAGCAGTAGCACCCCCCCTGCAATTCTGGGAGGGGGGCTAGTGGGGGGCTGCTTCGAAGCCCCCCCCCCCGTCAATGCGTTCACGGAACGCGCTCTTTCGGATCTTCGTTTCGCCCACGACGTGCCGCTGCGCCACCACGAGGACAGGGCGGCATGCTCTCGTGCACTTTTGCTCAGCGTGCCGCGGCGGCGGCCCCGGCGACAAAGCTGTGCCCTGCAGGCGGGTAGCGCGTCGCTCCGCTCCACGGGGCGGGAGGCTGGGAAAGGCTCGGGACGCTGACGCCCGTGGACTGGGAAGCGGACAGCGCGTCGCGCCGAAGCATGGTGGGCCAGAGCCGGCGGCGCTACACGCTGA